AAAATAAACATTTTTGGATATATAATACAAAGGGGGTTTCAATATCCAGTGTACAGTTTTAATTAGTTTGACATTTTCACTATAGTTTGTTGTTATTATTTATATATTGTCATAAAGTGAAAAGTTTTTAGTAATTTAAAAAATTCTCTGAATATTTTAAAATGTTGTGGAGTCAGTGTTTGTGGGATTTTTTTTTTTTCACTGTGGTAAGGGGGAAGTTGGCAGTCATTACAAATCATAACCACTGAACTGCTGTGGTTAAAAAAACGTTAATATTTTTAAACTTTTTAAACAAATAAAAAAATTTTTTTGCAATTTATAAAAAAAAAAATAAAACTTGGTTAAAAAAAAAAAAAAAAAAAATGAATTTTCATTCAGCTCAAAAAAACTTGAATTAAATTAAAAAAAACATTTTTTTTTGGGGCCTCTTAGCCTTTTTTTAAAAAAGCATTCAATTTTTAAACTAAAAATGAAATTATAGTATATAAACTTAAAAACGCACCATTTTTTCGAATTTTTTTTTTTTTTTTAAACACTAAGAAATGTTTTTCATTTTCAAAAAAAAAAAACAGCAATAACACTGTTACTGCATATTGGGTTAGAAATTTTGATACAAACATATAAAAGTTTTAAGTGGCCCGGAACCACCCCCGGACGGGACCGGAACACACCACTATATTTTTGTCCGCCCCCCCGTTTGGGGCAGGGCCCCGGACACACCCCTGAAATGTTTTGTGGCCGGCCCCCCAAAAAATTTACTTTTGTGGACCGGGAAAACAAAACCCCCTTTGATAATGCCTCTTTTTATGTATATTTATATCACATTTATATACGTAACTATCTATGTATATTGTATGAACTGTTTTAAATAAAATATAAAAAAAAAACCTCTTGTGGCGAAGAGATTCCTTTAACAAATCTCCTTAACAGTAAACAAGTGACTTCATACACAGACTGAGAAAACAAGTGTTCAGCCTGAATAGTGTCTGATGCCTGAATGAGTGGGAAAAAGAGGAATAATAGTAAACCATAAAGGGTAAACAGTATACACGCCTCCCCATGAATATTCACCGTATGAAATACGAAAAAAATAACTGAACGGAAATACCAGAATACTTTTGCATGTTTGCGCGCGCGCGCGCACGCACACACGCACACCATGAAAATAACGGAGAGAAAGATCAAATTTAATCACGCTTTTAAAATATGGTTCGTAAATGAGATATTTAAATAACACTTAGAAAAATTTACCCATGTGAGGCAAATGTTTCGGTTCAGGGCTGGAGACCTGAGAGGTTACACACCGCAAGGTGTGGTGCAGACTTGATCCTCCGTCCAGTAATCGTGAGAGAGACAGCAACGTACCTATAATTATCTAGTCGTTTGTGCTTGTTCTTGGGGTTGTAAATGTTTTCACACACCAATAATCGAAAATGGTCAAAATCTACTTTATATATATGTGTATATATATATATATATATATATATATATATATATATATATATATATATATAATATTATATATATATATATATATAATATAAATATAATAATATATATAATAATATATATATAATATATATAACTACCATTTTGCGGCACCTCAGCGATGCTGACACCAGCTGCAGCCTCAACATCAGACGTAGCAGGACCTGAATATGGCATCAAGACATTGTTACATCCTGTAGTGGTGGATTAATTACCAAATATCACGTTAAGACCATAATGACACAAAAATTGATTATGGCAGCAAGGGTATCATGAGTTGGTGACACTGGTGGTGGTGACACCGGTGGTGGTCACACTGGTGGTGGTGACTGCGTTGGGTTGATAACATTGTGGTTGGTTGATGACACTATGGTGGGTTGGGAATGACACTGTGGTAGGGTTGACGACACTGGTGGGTTGGTGATACTGTGATTCACTGGTGGTAATGAGGACACACTGATGGGTTCGTGATGACACTGTAGTTAGTGATGACTCAGCTGTCGGGTGGTGGTGATGACAATAAAGGGTTGGTTGTAGTGATGACAGTCAAGGGTTGGTGCGGCTTACAGCGAGGAATTGGTCGTGGTGGTGATACAGTTGGGGTGTCGCTGATGATGACAGTGATGGGTTGTTGGTAAACAGATGACACAGCAGTAGGTTCGTAACACACACAGTCGGACTTTCAACAAGACAGTAGAATGTGATCCATTGTCTCAGGCGAGCATTTGTACAATACACTGTTAGAAGAAAAAAAAAGAAAACGATGATCCCCAGGATAATTTGGACAGTGAGATACTTTACAAGGTTCGTCTTCATGAATCATGGGGACACAGGTACAACAATCCGCACGCGAATGACAACACTCAGGTGGGTTGGTAAGTAAAACACGTGTGCAACAATTAGGTATCATGTGTTTTATCAAGTTATCGGTATTGTATACCATTATTATATTCAGGTGGGTGTCCAAATAGCCAGACTTAGGGCACTATTGCGGAGTAAAAGCTCTGGTTACCGTAGGCGTTTACCTGATCAATATACCGTAGTGGTGAGCTAACGGTTCTCAAATATTAATTTGGCAACCTTGATCTGGTATTTCCGTTGTCCTCCTGCAGGACTGACAAAAATGTCTACTTAAGGAACGGGTAGCTAGTAGAGTTTTTTTTTTTTTAAATACTGCGTGTATTCACTAACCGCTCGTTAATGTGCTCTTAAGCTAGAAGGAATAACCATTCCAAAACACGCATTAAGGTGAGTAGGTTAGACTACAATAGCAGTGTTTTCTACTGTTTGTTGCTTTGCTAGTTTATCCGCTCCAGTATTATCATTAACCTGCATTAAACTTTGTCATGTGGGTATGTAAAGTGACCCTCGGTCCCGCTGCTCTCAGGATTGTTTGGTTGACTATCAATCGTTCAGCTTGTTCTAACTGTAGAACAAGGGATATGTTTTTGGGGATGGCAAAGACTACTTGCAAATCATCCCTTCGTAGACAAAAATAGTACAGATAGATCAATAATAATACTCGTCAAACAGAACAACTCAAACCTACGTATTGGAGTAAGAGAAGGTAACATTGTGAAGGGATTCAGGGAAAAGAATCACGTAGGTGGGACGTACAGTACCGGTCCTCTAAAGTGAGGTGAGGATGTTTCAGTTCGGAGGGCTATCTGAGCTGTGATTAACATGATTCTGGCAAGGCAGCAATTGCATGATTGACTGTGAATGTGTTTTCTTCTATTTTGGGGGAAGGAGGGGAGGGAGTCACCCTGCCTCAGAGGGAGATGGCCGGAGTGTTTTAAAATAATAATTGCCTTCAGTTTTCTATTCACCCTTCCCCATAGAGTTCAATAAGGAGAGGCTTACCCGTCTATTAAAAATCTCCAGAGATAATAAAGGTATACGTGAGTAAACAACATTAAAATTGCAAACGCAGGACTTTGATACTTGATAGTTATTAGGTGAATTTATCGCCTATGCAGCGGAGAGGGATGTATGGCCAGCCGATTGACTCGACAGGGCCAGAATTGAGCCACCTGTTTAGCTTCTACCTCCCTACCAAAATGTCTATCCGGTAAACCTCCCGTTCGGCTTCTATTCTCTTATCAAAGCATTTACCACCTGAGGGCCGCAGTTCCACAGGCAGATTTGGCTTCCAAGCAAATGGAAACAAGTTCACAGATGATCGTGCACGGCATATACGATGGGCAGTTGTTAAGTTTGGTTCTTGCATGTTACAGCCAAACCATACCACGGGCGGGGATAGAACCTGCGATAAGAGAGACATAAAACTCCAGACCGACTCTCATCGCGGGTTCCATCCCCGCCCGTGGTATAGTTTGTTTGCAGTCGTGTCATTACGATTTCGTGAGTCATGTTACAACCAATCTGAAGAAGCTGAAACCTCCTTAACAACGCAGTGACAACGAAGACCGTAATCCTCCCACTGGATGGAAAAGAACCTTCCACCAGGTGGGAGCATTTCTATTGCCACTGAGGGCGTTTCATAAGTATCAAGGTACCCCATTGAAGGGACTTCCAGGTAGACAGTAAACCGGCATCCTTAATGACCAGTAAATGGGAAGAGAACACAGAGGATGGCATGGAGGTCATGAGGGATCACTGAAAACTTCGCACAGCAGGAATAGTTAAAAATAAGCACCGCAAATCCCCGCTCCATCACACTTCATTCTTTTCTTGGGGAGTGATAAGCGCATAGGGAGTCATACAGCGCCTGGAGGTGAGTCATACAGCGCCTGGAGGTGAGTCATACAGCGCCTGGAGGTAATGGGAAACAATCAGGTTTGATCCAAGGGGATGACTAGTCCAATTCCTTAAATAAAGAACCCTTCACTAGCATTAAGAACCTCCCTTGAGGGGCCTTCTCACTTCACCTGTCAGTAAGGACCATAACAACGAACACACTTGGTAAACCTTGGTAACGACGACACTCTGAACCTTTGGTAATGAAAGTAACTCTTGAGGACTGAATGGCTTGGAAAAAGAGTATCAAAGCATTTTTACATTACCTCTTAATATTTTAGATAAAAAATACGTATACATTGATCAAGACATTTAAAGAAATGTTTCGCCACTTGGTATACGTGTCTTTCAGCTACAACTTGTCAGTATGACCACACCAATTGTAATTTTGTACACCAGTTGCCTCTCAGAAACATCCATCACACAGGCCTACCGTTCTCTCACCCTTCCTCTCTCATAGGATTGTATATGGGCTCCTTTTATTGGTTTATGAATGTTTACGTTTTCCCAGAGATCATGGTATTCACTAAGAAGTTCGATGTTTTTACAATGCTATTCTCCAGTCGTTCTATATGTATCAAGAGCTCCCTTAAAGTTCCAAGCTTCTTTTAATGTTGACTAAGTACAATTATTAAATTTCTCAATGTTATTGTCCCTCAGTCTATTCACAGATGTTTTTGCAGCAGCGTGGCTGACGTGGTCTGACTGGTCAGATATATATATGAAGTTTTTCTGCAAGTTACTCAGCACTCAGCAGTTTCAGGTCAGAGTTACCTGACTATTGTAGTGCAAATTCCTCCAATGGCGACTCCTTAGAGAAAATGGGACGCCAATGTAAAACACGATTCTTGGATAAAAAAAAAAATATATCGGCTAATATTTTCTCTGGTGAAGAAACATGTTGCTTACCAAACTTTAATGGGATGACTTTTCGCTCTAAGAAGAACTCATAGTTTAATAAAGCTTGCTCTTTATCGTATGACTTTTTATCACTATTGCCCTGTTAGATCCAACAATGGTCCTCTCATTTTTTTTATCCCCCATGTACGAGAGAATAATCATGTGCACAAGTCCCGCAACATTGTTTAAATAGCGATACAGGTAGAAACTACCAGTCGCTATAGCACTTACAAAGCCTTTAAAGTTACCACATTCCATAGGTATAAAAGAAACTGAATGAATATGCAACACGGCATAATGAAACTACCAAAATATAACCAAGGCACTGACTCAAGTCGTTATCTGATACTAAGAGTGAGCGCGGTGTGAATATTTAGTGCGCGGCATCTGTGTTACGCGGCCGCGCAACTTGAAGGGATCTAGTCAGTGTATTTTTTATTTTTCCACAAAGTTTTACAGGCTAAGAGCTGTTATCCAACTCTTTTTAAAGGTGACTTCAGTGTGGAACGCGATTTTGTTTTAAAGTTGGAGGAAACGAAACTTGTACTGCACGTTTCTAGACATTAAGTTCATAAAACAAAAATTGCTACACATCGGCCGTCTCCTACACAATGTAACCCAAAATAAGGAAACACAGTCACAAACATTCATTCAATAACCATCTTGCCAGAAGTGTGGAAACATCACAGTTTCAATGACCTTATGAAGTGCAACATCCCTACTGCGTCTTCAACGTGCATGCACTCTGCTCTCCACCTCCATGACTTCCCTTAATACCTTCGTAAATATAATCTTATTTACATTCCAACAGCACGACAAACTATAAAACCCACTTGTCTTCAATTCACTTTGATCTAACACGCTCATAAAAGCCTACTGGACACTAGAGTCCCTAAGCACTCAAGGTAAACAAAGCTGTGCTGAGTGCCATTTAAATTGTCATGTCCGTCCACTTGTGATAAAACTGATAAATGACAGCCGACGTGATAATATATTTATACTGCAAACATTATATTCGAAGCCAAACATAAACCTGCAACGTTGATGTCATGTTGGTTCTCGCGTAAATAAATCTGGAATGTGTCGTTTGCAACAATTTACCTTCAGAGTGAACATGGTGATACAACTTCACTCTCAGAAAGTGAACACATCAGTGTAACTTCACTCTCAGAAAGTGAACACATCAGTGTAACTTCACTCTCAGAAAGTGAACACATCAGTGTAACTTCACTCTCAGAAAGTGAACACATCAGTGTAACTTTACTCGCAGAAAGTGAAGACGTCAGTATAATGCCACCTTTAAGAAGTTATCAAGTGAATGTGACTTGAAAACATTGTATGTAACAAGACAATTTCACTAGCAAAAAGTAAACCTTTAAATGGAACTTTGACTTGCGGTACAAGAAATTCTATCCCAGCGTTTACCTATATATTTAGTTTAATAAAATTACCTCATTATACACTTCATTCACGATTGAAATAAATTTTATTCGACTATTACTAACATGACACGAACGCCACCATGGCTAAAACAAATATTTCATAGCTTAAATAAAGGTAAAAAATCCAGAATAAATCCCGCCATTTATTAGATATGACTTAAAACTGATAAACATCCATCAAGAACGTTCACAGATTTTCGCGGTAGAGACTTTCAGTAAACAATACACACATTAGTCTTCAAATATGGTAATGAACGATACTATAACATGTGAGGGACAGCCGCCCATCTTACCAATATATCAGTAACGACGATTAAAATTTTGTATACCCTGGTCTAGTCAAAAAAGACGAGCAACATTATCAGGAGTCAGCATAAATAAAGTGCATTTAGCTAAATCAATAATTTTGTTTCGGTTATCGTCGTTGCGAGATGTGACAGGAGGAAGTTAAACAGTCGTGTCGGCATACAACAGACGTGACCAAGCTGAGGTTCGCCAGCCGCATGCGGCTCCTTTGAGGATTCGAATTTGGCTCCCGCTGCTGTCTCCTTTCCCCCCCTTCCTTTGTTAATATTGTACTTATTATTATATTTTAGGGTCAAAAGAATGAGAGGTAATTAAACCCAAATAAGGGAAGGCAGTTCCAATTCCTTGCATCAAGAGGCCCACCTCAACATCAAGGAACTCTCCCTTGAATGAATGAGATGTTGACCATAGTATAAAATACCGACAAGTTGATGATTAAGACACGTGCAACAGTTGGGTATCTTTATTGTTGAAACGTTTCGCCTACCCAGTCGACTTCTTCAGTCAGGTTACAGAGGCAGCAGGTGTAGTAGTGAAATAAAGATGTAATCAATCCATCAACCGTGTAGAAATAGTATTTGAGGTGGTCAGTCCCACAGACTGAGGGACCGACCACGTTTCAGCAATAAAGACACCCCACTGTTGCCAATGTGTCTTGAATAAGACGAGTGTTATGTAACTTGCGAGACGTGGTCTTAGTCGCGTCGGAAAGTACGTCAGAGAAATTCATTCTTATTTAAGCGACAACTCCAGTTTGAAAACTTCTGCTTCAAATAATCTTCAAAAAGACTAATTTACTTCACATGAGAAAAATAGGAACTAACTATTGTTATTTTTATTATTATTATTATTATTATTATTAAAATTTAACTTCAAAATGTAAACAATGCATTTTTGCATTTGTAAGAAAGACATAAAAAGCGGTTTGAAGTATTTTCTGACAGAATTTTAACTAAATTATGCACATAAATCAATAAAAAATGTGTTAAGATTCACTACTCAAAATAAAATATGTCTTAAATTTTCACCAAAAAAAAAATATAGCAGGAGTTTCGATTAAAATGAATTAACCTAATTTTTATCGGCACTAATTATCTTATTTCCGCAGCTAATCATACATTCCTGTGTGCAATGCGTTACAAAATAAGTAATTCGTTAGTTAGTTAGTTAAAGATTAGCCGGTATTCTCCCGGCCCGGGCCTTTTCCAAGTGGTGGCCCGGCCTTGGCTCCCTCTTTAGGGAGTGTCTGAGACCTAAGTCTCCCATGGGAGGAGGCACAAGTACCTCCTCATCTTTGGGACTAACTGTCCCCAGGCCTAGCCACAAGCTAGGCCTCTTTGGTCTGCCATCCCCGCCCCAAGGGGGCAAATGGGAATGACAGTCTTATGAGCTAAAGGCTCGGGCTCAGGCACCTACCCTACCCTAGAAGGGTTAGGCATGGTGTCGATCAAGTAATTCGTGTTACCTTGCCAACTAGCAAGAAGGATTTCAGCCATGAATTCTATGAAACGAGACAGAAGCTATGGCTAGCAACACGTACATGATACTGCTGTGTAAAGGACACGAAAACCAACTTCCAACTCTAAGGAAACACAAACTTACCTTAAGTTTGTGCGATATTATCACTCGAACTGTTAAGTCGTCACTTGCCTGCAGGGGTGTACAGAAGTTATAATTACTGTTATTATTATATCTATTACTGGTCATTATGTATATTTACCTGGAACAGAAATTCGTTAACATATAACAAAAATGACTTCTTTTGCCGGGGAAAATTTTGTAAATTTTGGTGATATGCAAAATAAAATTAAAGTTTATCATGTAAATTCTCATTTTATTAAGTAGGTTGGGCATGGAAGACTTATATTTTAAGTAAGAAAAGCTGCGGAGAAAACTCTCCAGTTTATAAAGAGGGGGGGATGTTCTCCTCTCTTGAAGGAGGGGTAATGACCCTCTCCAGAGAGGACTAGCCCTCTCAAAGGGGCTTGTGAACCATCTTGCTTTCTCCCTCCCACAACAGCGTTATCAAAGCCATTTGTTGGGCGAGGTGTCACATGGCATGTTTCTCTCTACCAGACTTTCTGGCCTCTTGTACATAAGAGTCGACGTGTATTGGAGCTATTTCCCCATAGCAGGAAAATTCCGTGAAAAAACTGCGCCCCACTTGATCAACAAGCTAGGAGTATTATTGCCCCATAAACCAGTCTAGAATCCTAAGAAACAGATTCTGGGATGAAGTCATTTGCAAAAGCTTGCAATGAATGTCTAAGAAGCTGAAGTCAGCATTTCCTTTGTGGGATGGGGTTCACGGCGCCCAAGAGGGCAGACTGCTTCAAAGAACGAACGAGGCGTGAGTGTCACAGAGGGCATCGCCGCTCTCTTACTAAAGGACAAAGAGAGCAGTGACCAGTGAATTCTTTACTTGATCTTTCTGATAATCTCAGGAAAACTAGGAAAGTTAACTAGTTCCCTAATACGAGTTAGGAAATTCATGGTAGAACTAATCATGAATTGCGTCTCCGTGTAGCTTGCTCGAGTGAATAATGGGATGCTGAAGTATACAGTGTTTTTTTTTTTTTTACTATCTCCCTACAAATATAAATCCCTACAAATATAAATCTCCAATGCACAGCATTGGAGATTTATATGTCAGGAAATTCTCACTGTTGGTGTCATACAGAGCCAATGAAAGGCAGTTCCAACTCCTAGAATCAGGAACCCATCACCAGCATTAAGACCCCCCCCCCTCCCTTCCTCCCTGTCGCCCGAGACGGAAGAAGTGCTAATAATCTGTACTTCAGGTACTATTTACGTTTTTACGTATCTCTATCTGAAGTGCAGACGTATAGTGACACTGAAGACAGATGCCCTACACCTTTATGGTGTAATCTGCTTACAACAAAGAATACTGATTACAATTCCCGGACTGAACTGCACATATGGGCAAGTCTCCTTACATCTGCTGCCCTCGTTCGTGTAGCGGTAAATAGGGACTTAGTGTTAGTCGACTGTTGTGAGTGGCATCTAGAAGGTAGTAGCATATATACCACACACAGGTCTGATATGAATCAAGTTAGGACAACAGTTTAGCCTATAAATACAAGTGATTAAAACCGAAAAACAGCCATGATGCTCACCATATGGTGAAGGATGAAGTCGGGCTGTGGCGTCGTCAGGACCTGCTGGCGACACTGATGGGGACCTCCAGCCCTGCAACAGAACACACACTTGTACAGGTATATCAATGTAGACTAAAATATAACGCATGCACATTAAGATAGGCAGGCTCGACTCAAGTAACTGAATAGGTCCACTTTCTCTTATCAAGAGCCCCTTACTGACATCAAGGGGCCTCTCTTAGAGGATGTTAGTTATTACTATTGTACGAGTTACATAGACAGAGGTCATATAGTGCATGAGGAATGGGAGCTACTCAGGTTCGACCCAAAGGGAGGATAATCCCAGGGCTCTTGGTTCAAGAGCCCTTCACTGTCAGAAAGCCACCTTCCTTGAAAGTGACACCCGAAACTTCCCATATCCCTCCCTTAGTTCACCAACATTATAAAACTTACCTTTTAGCATATTTTGAAGTACTATCAACAAAATTTTCAGAACATGAGTGACCGTTCACTAAAGCACGTGAGAATCATTTCGTTTTCAGCATGATTAAATTGCACATCACTCATAATTTATACAATTTTCGTCCCACACGTCACCATCAAAGTCACCTTCAACTTCTCAATACAGAGTGTACCAAGCAAATGGACCACCATGACTCGACACTTTCAATGAACCATCTCTGAGTTATTTCAAAGCCTTGTTGACTGTTCATGTACTTTGGGTGAGAGATTTGTTGGCTAGGAAGCCTGGTAAGGTTTTATACACTGATAAATATGTATATCTCAGTTAACATAAGCTGATATGAAGGTTATACGCAGCGTTAAAGCTTTAAACCTAATAAGCAAACCTTCATTTATATTATTATCATAATCAAACACTAAACCCACTAGGGTCAAGCCTTTATTTACAGATAACTTCCTCTCACTATATACACTAAGAAATAAATTTATCACAATATATATATAGACAGATACGCGTCTCTTGGTGTACACAGAGAGAGATATATACCACTAGTTGTACATACACAGAGATTGATACCTCTCGGTGTATATATTCTCGCTTCTTGTTATAGATGGGTTCGTAAGGGCCACTGACAGCTGACGATGTATCCAGCTCTGCTTCGTGGTGTACGGGAAACTAAAATTGCTAAACAGACCAGACGGATCTTCCTCACCAAGCCTCAGCAGAGCAGGACGCCCACATTCCCAGCTGAGTTCAGCAACCGACTTCCCTCTAAAACCGTTAAAGAATTACCTGCAGATCGGAAAGATGGAGTTGGCTACAACAGAGACAATGAGAGACACCCCTCCTGTAACCTGCCAGGAGGGCAAAGTAGCGAAGGGAAGCGTCCCAGAGAGACGGGGAAAATTTATTACTGATGCAAGACGCTCACACTTGACGGAGGCTGGTGCAGAAGTCCTTCCACATACCACTTGGTGATGGTGTTTATCCTTGCTGGCAAGAATGAATGAAGCAACGAGTGTGTGTGGTTTGTATGTGTGTGTGTGTGTGTGTGTGTGTGTGTGTGTGTGTGTGTGTGTGTGTGTGTGTGTGTGTGTGTGTGTGTGTGTGTGTGTGTGTGATGAGCGGTATCCATGGTCGGTGAATAAAACACGTGCAACACCTGGGTATCAGTATACCCTGGTGTTGCACGAGTGTTTTATTCATTAACTTGTAGATATAATATACTTCTGATCTAAGTATTCACTCGGCAGCTTCATCGACCAGGTTCAGTATTCAGGTCCAGTGATTAGGTTCGCTGAACAAGTTCACTGAGCGTTTCGAACCACATTGTTTCGCCCCGTACATTTGCTCCTGGGGACCATGTATCATTGACATATATTACATAACTCAAGTCACATATTACCGCCAAAAAATATTGCTTTTTTTAATTTATTCTAAATGTTTGAAATTAAATGTAATGTAAAAAAAATGTATATATATCTTAAAAGTTATCACATTAAAAATTAAACATTCATTCATATATTTCTAAGTTATTTTTCGATTATTATTTATTTATTAATAACCAGTTTCTAAACAGGTGGACTGGTAAGCCGGTGAAAGGCTTCGGTCAGATGACCAATAGCTAAAGTGGCATTTAAATACCTGGAGGTTATTCCGGGGATCAACGCCCCCGCTGCCCGGTCTATGACCAGGCCTCCCGATGGATCAGGGCCTGATCAACTAGGCTGTTACTGCTGGCCGCACGCAGTCCAACGTACGAGCCACAGCCCGGCTGATCCGGCACTGACTTTAGGTATCTGTCCAGCTCTCTCTTGAAGGCAGCCAGGGGTTTATTGGCAATTCCCCTAATGCTTGATGGAGGCTGTTGAACAGTCTTGGGCCCCGGACACTTATGGTGTTTTCCCTTAGTGTACCAATGGCGCCCCTACTTTTAATTTGGGGCATTTTGCATCGCCTGCCCAGTCTTTTACTTTCGTAGGGAGTGATTTCTGTGTGCAGATTTGGGACCATTCCTTCCAGAATTTTCCAAGTGTAGATTATGATATATCTCTCCCTCCTGCGTTCCAACGAGTACAAGTCAAGTGCTTCCAAGTGTTCCCAGTAGTTAAGGTGCTTGACAGAACTTATACGTGCAGTAAAGGATCTCTGTACACTCTCTAGATCTGCAATTTCACCTGCTTTGAATGGAGATGTTAATGTACAGCAGTATTCCAGCCTAGAGAGAACAAGTGATTTGAAAAGGATCATCATTGGCTTGGCATCTCTCGTTTTGAACGTTCTCATTATCCATCCTATCATTTTCTTTGTACGCGCGATCGTGGCACTGTTGTGATCCTTGAAAGTGAGATCCTCAGACATTACTACTCCCAGGTCCCTTACATTATTTTTCCGCTCTATTGTATGGCCAGAGTCTGTAGTATACTCTGTTCTAGTTATTATCTCCTCCAGTTTTCCATAACGGAGTAGTTGGAATTTGTCCTCATTGAACATCATATTGTTTACCGTTGCCCACTGGAAAACTTTGTTTATATCTTCTTGGAGGTTAACCGCGTCCTCAGCAGATGACAGCCTCATGCAGATCCTAGTATCATCCGCAAAGGATGATACGGTGCTGTGAAGTATATCTCTGTCTATGTCTGATATGAGGATGAGGAATAAGATGGGGGCGAGTACTGTGCCATGTGCAACAGAGCTCTTCACTATGGCAGCCTCCGATTTAACTCTGTTGACCACTACTCTTTGTGTTCGATTTGTTAGGAAGTTGAAGATCGATTTCCCCACTTTCCAAGTTATTCCTTTAGCACGTATTTTATGGGCTATTACGCCATGATCACATTTGTCAAATGCTTTTGCAAAGTCTGTGTATATTACATCTGCATTCTGATTTCCTTCCAGTACATCCAAGGCCATATCATAGTGATCCAGTAGTTGTGAGAGGCAGGAGCGACCTGCCCTGAACCAATGTTGCCCTGGATTGTGCAGATTTTGGGAATCCAGGTGATTTGCAATCCTGCTTCTTAGCACTCTTTCAAAGATTTTATGATGTGGGACGTCAGAGCTGTGATGAATGGTTTGAAAAACCGACAAGTTAAAGATTGAAACACTTATGCAGCATATGGGAATCTTTATTTAGGAAACGTTTCGCCACACAGTGGCTTCATCAGTCCAATACAAAGAGGAAGGCGTAAGGAGAGGAGGAGAATGAGGTAATCAGTCCCTCAACCTGGAGTCGATGTGTTCAGTCCATCAATCTTGTAGAATGATGGACTGAACACATCGACTCCAGGTTGAGGGACTGATTACCTCATTCTCCTCCTCTCCTTACGCCTTCCTCTTTGTATTGGACTGATGAAGCCACTGTGTGGCGAAACGTTTCCTAAATAAAGATTCCCATATGCTGCATAAGTGTTTCAATCTTTAACACGTCAGAGCTATTGGTCTATAGTTCTTAGCTAATGCTTTGCTGCCACCTTTACGGAGTGGGGCTATATCCGTTGTTATAAGTGACTGTGGAATTTCACCCATGTCCAAGCTCCTCCTCCATAGTGTACTTAGGGCACGCGAGAGGGGTTTCTTGCAGTTCTTAATGAAAACAGAGTTCCACGAGTCTGGGCCCGGGGCTGAGTGCATGGGCATGTTGTCAATGGCTTTTTCGAAATCTATCGGAGTTAGAGTAATATCGGAAATCTGGCATACATTTATGGAGTTTTGAGGCTCATTCATGAAGAAATCATTTGGGTCGATATATATAGAACTTCAACTACCTCATTTGTGGTGTTCAGCAACTCCGTGCAGATGAGGGACTCTTTGACATACAGGCCAACCCTCCCCCCCCCCTTGTTGCCTGTTCATTCTGTCGCATCTAAAAAGGTTGTAACCACTTATCCATATTTCACTGTCAAAGTGATCTTTTGTGTAAGTCTCTGTGAAGGCTGCAAACATTGCATTAGACTCCTCTAGAAGTCCACTGATAAAAGGTATTTTGTTGTTGGTGGATGGCTTAAGGCCCTGTATATTAGCAAATATGAACGAGGTTGTATTCTGTGTTTATTGGAAGGATTTTGTTATTGGCATCAGTAGTTGTAATTCTGGAGGGCCATGGGTGGCCACTGGCTGCGCCTCCAGTCCAACAAGGCTCCAAGGTGGTGGACTATTTTTATTTCCTTCCATTTTCTTTTTCCGTTTCCTGCCACTAAAAAATCACCTGGAGTTGGGTTGTCGTAGCTACTATTGTTTGTCTTGTGGGGTCTGTGCCTCCTGGTCCCTTTTAGATGGTATGCAGGGCAGTCAATGTTGTAACACTGCTTCTGGAGGACCGAGGAGTGACACATTTTTTGGGAGAAAGAAAGTACAGGAAGAAGAACGACACACTCCTTTAGACAGGAGATCGCTACATTTTTTGGGATGCTCAAAGTTGAATGTCCCATTTTTTTCCTGATATTCCATGCTTACAGATGCCCCAAGCATAATATTTGCACAAATTCACCTTTGGTTGAGAATTGTTGGGAGATGTGTTGTCAATTTCTGCAGGTTCTGGGACTGCTCTATAATCCTCAGTATCCAAGCCAGGGCCACCCCATCCTGGATTCCATCTACTTTCCTCAGTAGAGGAAGAAGGAGGAGACTCCTCTCCCACATCTGTACTGTGGGCCACGGTCTTGTGCAATGATGGTTGTATATTTACAGTTTTAGTGGTGGTTGTGGTAGGGTCCCTAGTAGAGTCTGGGCTGGCAGTAAGGCTGGGGGCTGGGACTGAGTCAGCACTGGGGCTGGGGGCTGAGCCTGGGCCAGCACCAGCACTGTGGGTATTAGTGCTATGACTGGGGGATGGGTCTGGTTTAGCACTATGTGGGTGACTAGATAGTTTCGAGTCATCTGTTGTGGTACGGACATTCTGCATTATTTGATACACTATCTCTTGCTCCCATGTTTTATATATTTTTGGTAGACTATCCAAGAGGTCATCTTTGTTTTCTTGATTATTTTTATCATTTATTACTCATTTATTACTCCTGATACCTGTCCAAAGTTCTACATCTTTATTGCACAACCAGAAACACCTTGCTAGTTCGAGGTCATTTTTTGAGGCTGTATTTAGTCTAGTACAAGAGATATGGTGTTTGGAAAAGCATAGATTGCATGTGATTCTGGATTTCCTTCCAAGGATTTTTTTACATATTCCACAG